TTAATTAATATCCTAGCCATGAATTTAATCTCAATGCAATGTTATGTAATTTCAAAGATTTAAGACCAAATTTGGTATAATATATGTCCTTTTGGACCAGTACTGGAACCGTTTTGATTGCAAAACTCTTTGTATTGTATTCTTCAGTTCGTACTTCCACATTTCTATTTTTTTCTTATTTTAGGTGTTTAGAGTCTGTTACATTAAGAAGAAACCGAAAGGTTTATTTTGTCATTCTTATAAAATCAAAGTAGGAGTGCAAGTTATTTTTGTTTCTTGGGCCGTAAGTGTTTTTTTTTTTTTTTTTGGGGGGGGGGGCATTTTCTCTTTAACTTTAGTGGTTAAATCTCGAAAGTAAGTAGGAATATGTTCATCTCAGAAACTTCTCATTAGGCCATATTGAAATCCAATTAAAGATCAGATATATGCAATTTTTGTTCATAATCAAAAGGTCATTAAGTATTATGAGGCCTTTTATGGTCTGTAGGTCAAATGGGCAATTATTGTGATTGGAGACTGCATATTATGATGAATAAAAAGTCCTATCGGAACTTTACAAGTGTGTAGGCTTATCTTAGTACTATGCAGTCTAGTATTGCTCAGGCTTATCTTAGTACTGTCCCTTTTTTTTTATTAACAATTTTTTTTTTCTTCAAAAGAAATTGCCCAAGCTAGTGATATGTTCACTCTTGTACAAAAATCAGACCCAAGACTGGGTAACAGTGGAGAAAAAGAAAAAGGAGTGAAAGTCCAAAGAGGAATGGGATACTTTGCCTAATACACAAGTGGAGTTGGTTCATTGGTCTTCAAGACCAAACAAAAGTTACTAACCTCAGTATTAATTAATGTACGTATTTCCTATTAGACAACTAATGCTTATGTTTAAGAGTTATTGATCTAGTGTAGGTTGACCCCTAAACTCTCTGTTGACTTATTCATGTACTATTGAATTTTTGTCTTTCTAGTATATCTTGTGTTAGTTGAACATCCCATGTTAAGATTTTATTTGTAATAATCCATTACCCTACTTCAGTGTGTGTAGATTGGTAGTTGGTACCATGCAGTCTAGTATTGCTCAATAAGCTAGTGTGTGATGTTGATTTTTGCACAAGTAGAGGTTAGATCCCTCAACTTCCTTTGCTTTTGACTTTATTATGTAATATATTGGATTTCAAACTCTAATTTGAGTTAAAAATGCGTGCAATTTCTGTGTTTATCTGGTGTTAGTTGTGCAGCCCATGTTGAACTTTTGTCTGTGACAATCCATTACGCTGCTTCAAAGTGTGTAATGGAGGTTTAGTCATTATCTGTCTCCTACTTGAACTTATTGAAAGCCCATGTTTTATTTTTTATTCTTTTAATTATTTTTTACTCTTTAGACAAGGTCTCCATGCAAGGAGATTGATCCAGGTAATTTATTAAAAAAAATTACTTGAAGCTGGCTAGCTAAATCTCCTCCTTCCCACCTCACACCTCTCGCTCCCAAGGAGATTGATCCAGGTTTCAGAGTCACCCATGAGTAGGAACAGCCCCTGAAGACCTGGACCAACCCCCCCAATATATATACAGAGTGGGAGTGGGGAGAAAGGCAGGACGGTTATAGTTACATATATAAATCCAACTAAAACAACTGATCAACAATCTCATATTAGGTATTCTCAACCTATCCAAATTTTTAGCTGCTAATCCTGGATACATTAATTACTCAACGAAGCCATTAGCCATCTCCTCTTAAGTTCACATGCAACATTCCCCAGTTGACTAGTTTAACTTTTAGCAATTAGCTAGTGGACATTGTGCAATATTCCTTATATATCTTATCAAGGAATTTCTTGAGAACCAAGGCATAGTAGTTTTTTTGCTGCAATACTGAAATGTTAAGGAAAAGAAAAAATATATACAGTCATGGAAGCCACTTAGCTAGCTTGAAATAATAATTCTATTCACATTTAATTTACTACAAACAATGGATGCTAACACGGGCTCATCAACTTCGTGATGGGATTTCATGGTTCATCAATTTCAAGATGATTTCTTAAGAATCTAATAAACTGGGTTTATCACTGTATAGTATTGCTAATACCATGTTGTAGATCACTAAGCCGGAAAGCGGAAAACTTGGGATCACCAACTCTTTGATCCTTTGGTATGACAACTGAACCACCTATTTGGCTGTAATTGTCATCTATGATCTATGTAATGAAAGCCACATAAGAATGTGTTGAGATTGGCTTCTACTTTGTTTAGTAAGTAGTTGTTAAAAAAAGGTCTCTGTGTATGGTTTGTCCCCGGTCAAAATCAAATTGTCATTGTTCTCATAATGGAATAAGTAAAGCAGTTCGTGATTGTTTAGATCAAGCTAAAAGTCGTCACAGCTGGGTCATTTTCCTAGTAAGTGGTTTAGATTGTTGAGAGTTTGCACTTTGTCTTGTTAGTTTTAATTTGCAGCTGTCATTGTAAATACAAAGAATTAAACCTTTTACACCCAAAAGGTCTCTGCTGAGACTTACCACCAGCCGGATATCCATAGAATATTCAAACAAGTAGTGGAAGTTACCATTATTTATTACCTCTGGGTTTGGGAAAAACATACAGTTCCGTCCATGCAACGAAAATACCTCACCAGCACACTACTTAATTGATGAATTGAATTTTTGAAAGGGACACTTATAGTTGCACTGGAGTAATAGGAATTGTATGAGGGTACTTGGGCCATGCTATTCGCTACTAGTTAGTTGCAGCTCTCTGAATTCAGTCCTATAGAATCATAGCTTAACAGAAAAGGACAAACAAAGCATAAAACAAATAAAAGAAATGAACATGTAGCTTTCTTAGGAAAACCATTTAGTGACCTAGGAAGCTTGGGAGACTTTTTCTATTTTATTTATGTTGTCCTCAATATGACATTGAATTATATGTTAGACCCACACATTGCGTACTCCATTCAGCTCTTCTGTTTAGCTTTTGCAGCAGAATTCTTTGCACCATAGAATATGGTCGTAAAGAGACCCCAAAAGGTCAATTATATGAAAGTAGTTAAGCCTGGTCGAATTCTCCAATAATATAAAGGGAGGAAGTTTTAGGGAAAAAAATTAAAGGAAATGTGCTTCAATTATATTCTAGCTAGGATAACGTCATATACACTTTTATTCAACTTGAGACTCTCTTCACCTTTCCACAGTTCATTCATCTGCCAAAAGTTATGTTGGCTCAGAAACATCAAACATCTAATCGATTCGATGCTCTCTCTTAACCATTTTAAGTTTATCTTTCTGGACCATCTAAATAATCATTAATTTCACATCAACGGTGGTTTAAATTATGTAACAAACCCAGCTGCTTTACCTTAGCTTTTATTCAGATAGAAAGAAAGCTTATTTCTTTACTCTGCTTCCATGGCAGCTGTTTCAGCTTAATTAATCAGAGTTTAACATATATATATAACCAATTAATCGGGCATTAAAACGGGCAGCAACATTGGAAGCCAAGAGAGCAGTACTCAAGCAAGCTGAGGCAGACATAACTGTTTGGCCGTATAGAAGAAGCCAGTGCTTGCCACCTGTGCAAGAGGTGCGACTTTTCCAATCCTGTGGAATCGGAGGTGGAAAGAAGTGCATGATTGTGTACGTGCCAAGTGACGGATGAAACGAAGTGGCTGAGTAGTACTTTTATCATTAGGCTCTATTTGACAGCAACCAAACCCAACAACATTTCCCCATATGTACAAGATAAGACCAATGTAGACCTGTTCCCCCAGGTGTACAGGATAAGACCAATACAGACCTGACTTCCAAACAACACATAAAACGGATCACCTTATAAGTTCAGCTAGCTCTCGCAATAACTCGCAAGAGTTTCTGGGAAGTTGTCATTAAAATCTCATTGGATGCTTTTTCCGCTTTTTGTTAAAAGAGGCCTAATTAACAAATAAAGCCTCTGAACTCTGAAGTGTGTCTGGACCCTGGACCCAGAAGCCTATCTAAAACAAAAGAACCTGAGAGGTTCGGAAAAAATTGTACAAGTGATTTAAGTACTATGGCCAATGGTTTTACCTCCTTCCCAATGCCAATTATGATCCAAAATGTAAGCTGCTGGTCTAGACTAATAAAGTCCACAGAGGAACAGTAGAATAATAAGTGGATTTATGATGATATAATAAATGAATTCATGAATAATACTGGTCGCGGCCAGAAACGGCTTTTACAATACACCAGAATAAACTAGGCTCTCTTTATTATCTATTGAAATGAAAGCCACATTATCCAATGTCTGTAGACCTAACCATGACTTTAATGGTTTTATGCTCTCACTGTCACGATTCCTAATATGGCACATTCACCTTCTCTTTTTGTCATAGTTATCCTGTCCTTGAAAACAACCCTCGAACAACCCCAGCTCAACAAAATAAAAAGAACAAAACCCCAGCTCTCACTCTGGATGTCATGTGGTCCTTGTAATTATGCCCCTCCAAAGCGGGTCAGCTAGTGAGTGAGTGCAGGAGAGAGAGAAGAGCGGCATGCATAAATAGAAGCGCTAGCAGGATGAGGGGAATGTATATAAGAGGGTTTTCGATTGTGGATGGGACTATTACCATTTTCATACAAGATAAGTTGGAACTTGGAAGGATTGTATTATGATGGCGTCTGGTGATTGGCTAGGGTTTGGAGATGGTCTCTTGAACAGCAGTGGCAAGTACAATCACAAGCCAACCTTTCTTGACATTTTGTGTGAGAGAGAGAGAGAGCTTTTTGGCTCCCTAATAAAGATAAAAACGGAGGAGCACGCGTCACTAGGGGAAACTGATCAAACACAAAGAGATATTAATGACGATGCCCACAACCCACAATTATTGTGACTAGGCATGCATATATAGACCCTCTTATAATATGGATAGATTCATAGATTAGAGAATGGGAGAGAAGTGGAGATAAAAATGGGAGGAGATGAGGTAGTTTGAGAGATATGGGTTTCTCTTTTTAGTGAAAGCGACTAGAACTCGCCCAGTCAAAGACTCTAAAGGAGCATTGCCCCCCATGGTAGGCTCGATCTTGTCATTGTATATGTATATGCTCTTCGGAGCTGGGAGTGAAATAATTGTCCTCCTTGAGGGTTTCTAGATATGGACACGGGGAAGCTCCGCGATATGTCATAGGCGTACTGTCTTGGAATAAATTTTTAGGCTTTACAAACCCTAATCCACTAATCCTGTCATCACTTCCTCTGTCCACTGTAGTACAACTTCTCTTTTTCTTTCTCTCTCTTCCACCAAATACATGGAACCATGCAACTCAACTTGCTCTACCATCCGCCCACTTATTTGTTGAATTAATACGGGCTCGAAAAGTTGCAACTGTTGCTGTCAATCTTTCACCTGCTCCCACGTGAAGTGGCACAATACGAAGTGTTCTACATCCACTCACTTCCCACAACATGGTCTCTCTCTCTCTCTCTTTCTCAGGGTCCAATGAGCACAATAACTAGCTCTAAAGAAAAAAAAAGAAGTATGACGATAAAGATGGCCGCTTGTCTGCAATAAATACCAGCTTCCGATTTACCATTCCTCACTCATCATCTCAACCCTCTACAACCCATCCTCTGTCTATTTGGGAGCCTCTTTCTGAAGCTCCAGTCCACACTCTCAGACAACTTAAAAGCATGGGGAACTCTTTCAAGAGAGGGTATAAAGTCTATGTATAAGGTGCATGAGATGCCACGTCCTTGTAGACAGTAGTGGGTGTTCTAGAATTCTAAGCTGAAAACTGGTAAAGCTTTAGATACGATTGTCCAGTGCAATCAGGAGCCACAGATGTTCCCCTCCTTCAACAGTGTCTGTGGCAGCGGCCTTTCACACACCGACTATCCCATGTTCAGCAGACCCTTATTCACTGATGTTGGCCTTATCTCTAAACAGGAGCCACCCTCCTCTTTCTTCCAATTTTCTCCCATCTTTATTGACCACAACAACGACCATCACCCCCGCGATGACGATGGAGGGTTTGTCCAACGCCATCACGAGCTGTTAGAGGGTCAATTGCTACCACAGCAACAGCTATTGGCCGCCAATACCAGTTGCAGTAAGACAACCGCTCATAGTGCGATTGACATGGCGACTTCGAGCAAGAAAGACACACCGACTGATGATGTTGCTGTGTCCAACACAAACAACTCTGTTGGTCCTAGTTCTACTGAGCGGCAGATGCCACGAAGGAGATCTGCTAAAAGAGATCGTCATAGTAAGATCTTTACTGCTCAAGGTCCAAGAGACCGCAGAATGAGATTGTCCCTTGAAATTGCCCGTAGGTTCTTCGATCTCCAAGACATGCTCGGGTTCGACAAAGCAAGTAAAACTGTTGAATGGCTGCTCACAAAGTCGAAGGCTGCCATCAAGGAGCTTGCTTATAAAGGCCTCCCACAAATGAAGCCCAGCTGCAGCGGTGGTGCCAAGAGTGTCTCTTCTACATCTGAATGCGAAGCTGTGTCTGGAATCGACGAGGCTGCCAACACTGAAGACCGGCAGGGGATCATCCCCAGGGGGAAATCCTCAGTGAAGGAGAAAAAGATCAGACAGTTGCGTAAAGTTGCATCTCATCTCGTTGCCAGAGAGTCCCGGGCGAAGGCAAGAGAAAGGGCAAGGAAAAGAACAAGAGAAAAGTTGTGGAGTAGAAGTCTTGAGGAACAAAAACAATGTCCTACCGAAGCGCCCCCCTATAACTTGAACCATTTACGGTCTTCTAGCCCCATAGAAGTTGAGGATGAATCGAGGGGTTCCCACAGCCATGAAATGAGGTCCATGGATATGATTGCTGAGGTTGAAGGACCAACCGCTCACTCAATAGAGCATCAGGGGACTAGCAGCAACGACGTTGTTGTGGAATCCTTCATGATTACAACCAACAAATCAAGCACATGTCTGATCTTCAACCAGCACGAAAGTTCAATTATTTCCAACAACCATAACCAATTCCCTAATTTTTGCGAAAACTGGGACATCGACAGCACTGCAACCACATTCTGGCCATGGTGATGTAAGCAAAACCTGCATTTATCGACAGGTAATGTACAAGAACGAATGCCTAGCTCCAGTGTCCTATCTACCCCATATAGCCATTTGCCGTCTCAGTTTGCAGATTTTCACTTCTACAGAAAGCCATGGGAAGACTACCACAGTTAAGCGTCTGAGTTAAGAGCATTGTTCATTTTACTATTTCCTTTGTTTTAGTATATCTCTATGAGAAAAAGCTATGCTTTTATTTCTGTGTCTCCCTTTCCTATTACTTTTCTTCTGTGTAGTTAACAAGTGTATCTTTGCTTGTTCAAATTGGCTTTCTAAAATTTCAAGTGCTTCCCTTAGGGAATATCATTGAAGAAGAAATTATTGTGTATGGAATTTTGGTCAGCGAAGATCGAAGAACTGATCATAGTTTTCAATCTAATTAGGCGCAAATTTCTTTTCCATTCTTCTTTCTCTCTATTGTTCTCTCTATTATCGTTGTTATTATTATTATTATTATTATTATTATTATTATTATTATTATTATGGTTTTTGTGGTTTGATTGCTTTTGTTTGTTTTCTTGTGTTACAAAGTAATTTAATGATAAGCCGATTGACTACACAAGTGGTAGGGGAATAAACCAAAAAGGAAACACAAAAGAAAAGTCCAAAGAGTTGCACAAGAATGGTGAATCGTTACATTTCTTTGTAATATTTCATTCCCTGGAGTGGAAATGCCGAAGTGCATAATTCATCCAACATGTTTCTCCATATTTGTTTGTCACCAAGGTTTTTCCTTTACTCATCAGAAATATTTTCTACAAACGATATTTTATTCAGTTCTTTCAATATTGAAACAACCGTGAAAAACATAGATAATATTAATAATAGAATCAGATGGACTATCCACTAATAGAAAATATTATCAAGTACATTGCAACCAATAAGATCCTTTAAGCTATTATTTTGGTTTCAATCTACTATTCTTCTTGATCAAATTGAACGGGACAAAAGAAAGATGATAAGCAGTATTATAGAGTTTCTTTGAGAAACAACTCTCCTATAGAAATTTTCTCCTTTGCAGCTTCTGAAATTGAAGTATCAGAAACTACTTGGGTGGAAATGATCAGAATCTATTTTATACAAATATGTTCCTTGTGCCTTGATACTATAAATTTCATGTGTTAAAGATGATAGCTAATATTTGTAGTAAAGATGAAGATGATGTGTCAATTAAGGCTTTGAAAATCACCTAGGAGAGTAAAAGGGGGAAAAAAGAATATCAGCAGCCAGGAGAGTAACCAGTCCCTTATTGCAGTTTCACATGTACCCTAGTGGATTTCAGATAATTCGTAAGTTTACCTTTACAGTTTTGTACAATGAAAACATTTTTACGAGTCTTCTCAGAGATGTCTGAAGGAGCTGGTGCTATAAGACTGATCTAGAGGAACATCCAGCCAGCTTATAATGATCTCATTAACATTTCTTGTAACCTCCAAACATCCCAGGTATGACATCACCATAAAATGTTTCCCAGAGAAGTCTAAGATTTGGCTTTTATAGAGAGCGCTTATCTATTAAAGGTTAGAATGCAGTTTCTTCTTTTATATTGGTATTAAGGTTTGGTCCGAGTGTTTTATTTATATTAATTTGTAAGGAGCAACCCCTTTGAAACATAGCTTTTCTTCGGGTAAGGTTTCTATATCTCTCCTTTCTATAAAAATGAAGGTGGGCACCCCTCAACTTGGAGTAAAGTTTGGGCCTTAAAAAAGTAAGACTGTGTTGAGATGGTGGATTAACCTGTATATGGAATATTAGTATTTACTTTTACTTTTTTGTAAGACGACAATTAAGATAAAGAGAACTAACTTGAACAAAATCACCATGCATGTAAAATGGATTGTATATAAAATAAGAAATTAACATGATTTAGTCTATCTAAATAACACAAGCAGCAAAACAAAATAGTCTAAGATTGTAGGACTAAGCTTAAACGATATCTGAAAAATAAAATATAGAGTTGACAAATTATGCAAATGCATTTTTAAACTAATGCATCAAAACTAAGATAATTTTGAGAATGGTTTTGAAAAGTGACTTTAACTATCATGATATTGTAGGAAATACTGATCAATATTGTATAATTGTTTCAGAACTTAATTGAAAATTTAGAAAACAATGTTATCTATCTATCTATCTATCTATATATATATATATTAATGTCTAAGACCTATGAAAAAAATTCTACTATCAAATGAAATTATTATTTAGTTTCATGACAATGTTATATGCTTTTAGTTTTCGCCAATAGAAAACTGAGGGCATCGTAAACCCTTGGTTTGTCCATGAATTGGTGTTAATTAGAAACCATGGAAAAGGCACTCATATATTGACACAGGTATACTTTATGATTGTTAATCTTCAGTCTCAGATCAAACTAGATAGGAAGATTAACACTAAATAGGCATACCTTGTCCAGTTTCTCTATAACCTTGGTGAAAAATGCGTTATTAATCCTGACTAAAAATTCCACTTTTACTTGGATGAAACAGTAGGTCAAGTAAGTTCTTTACGGTTTCATTGTTCTTTTTATATTTTTAGTCACTGTCTTTATTTGAGACATCCCCTCAACTCCCTTCTCTTACACAAGAAATGGAGAGGTGCTAACAAAGAAAATACATTGAGTTGCTCCTCATCCTCTATCCACAAATTTCCATAAATTGTTTCGAAAATTTCTGGACTAAAGTAACAAGTTTGTGTCCTTTCTCCGTTCAATATTTTTTGGGTAAAGATGTTTAAACAACCAGTCTTTTAGTTGTAGAATTAAAATGAGTCTCCAAATTCCAAAATTAATAATAAGAATAAGAATGCATCCATTAATTTCAAATGACTTTGCACACCATCGTTCTAAAATAAGTATGCTTTTAAGAATTCTCTTAATAAGTAAAAGAAATCACTAGTTCAATAGTGCAAATAATCATACATATCTAGCTAATTGGATAAGATCATAATTTCAAAGAGTTTGCATGACATAATAAATCCTCAACGTATTATCTACAAAACTACTTAGAATATTCAGCACTAATATTTCATCAATGCAAAAGGTCTAAGTGCCATATTTGATTTTTTTTTTTTTTACTGAAGCAACAATAGACTTAATTAAAAAATGATTTTATTCAATTAGGCTCCTATTATTATCTGCTTACACCATCTTATTATTTATCCCTAAAAAAATTCAAGTGAAGTCATTCATAAGTGCTATGTCTAGCTATGTGGTAAATACTACATAGGCATGGCATTAATTGTATGCCTACTAGTAGTGTAATTATTTCTCATTCTGTGTTCAGTTCATGTGTGATATTGATTATTGTCTATGAGTTAATTAAAGGTCAATTTGGGTGAGAATTTCACTATCAAGAGATTTCAAGATCTACTTAAAGACAACTAATTGCAATGACGATTTGACATTGTCAAGGCACTGCAAGTTTGTTGAATTCCTATGGATGTGAAATGATTTTTTAGGAGAAAAAAAAGGTCTATTAAAGGTCTTACTATTTCATCTATGTATATTATAGGATTTAAAGCAGAAGAAAAAAGTTTGAAGTGACAAATACATTTCTCAATTCACTACAGAAATTAGATGGGAAAACCTCAAATCGATTTACCTTCCGTCCCCTAGCATCTAAGACATTCAACTGTGCCGTGAGACCTATGTTCTGTGTTGTAGAAATCCCATCATATTTTTGATGGTTTTCAACCTAGCTAGGAACCAGAAAAACGTAATGGTGCTAGTAATGAGCCTGCTAGTTCTCTACCTCACAGCAATATATCTTCCTCAAGGTGTTGCACATAATACTTGTTGAGTCAGCATGGAATTGGAATTGATTTCCTGTTTCAGCATAAAGTATGTCAGTGACACTAAATGAGGAAGGAATTTTGAATGGTTATTTAGAAAAAAAAGGTTAATATATATGATTATTACTAATTAAGTGCATAATTCAGGAATGCATGTACTGTCTAAAGAATTAAGATGGCTCTACCAATCTAATTCTAAAGGACCATCTAAGGTAGAATTCTCCTTTGAATCTTGTAGAATTCCAAGGAATTAGGAATAAGTTCGAAATTTATGGGTCAATGATCGATTAGAAACTTTTTGTATAGCAACAATGCAATGCCCTGATTTTTTGGGCTCCTTTCTGTTAGGTGAACACTTTCACTAAATTTCTGGTATATAAAACTAAAATTTAAATTAAATATTTCCAGACCAAAATAAAGATCTCACCTTTTTACCCAAGAAATTTTCTTTTTCCTATGCATGGTAACAATGAGTTCTAATGATTTAAAATTGTGTCTTAAGTTCTATATTATACAACCATAGCAACTCTGGATAGGGAAGCCCAGATCTCTTCTTTGGTATTGTTTGGGTGGGTCTAAACAATGGGAGGAGACACTACTTTTCAGCATGTATTTATCACCTTGCTGCTAATCAATTGCATCAATAATTGTATTGCAGTAGTTTTGGGACAAAATTAGAAAGGAATCACCATTAGCTTGTTTTGTACTTTGTGGTCTTCACATGATCCTTCCCCATGGATGTACCCATCTTATGTGACAAACCACAATAATTATTTGTTTTATGCGCTTGTTTTTCTCTATTGTTGAACCTCCCTCAAACTCAATGCTTCATGTTTTCACAAGGTCCTCAACTATTTTCTTGACCTTTGTTCAACATCCATAGGCTAAAAATTGAATGGCTCAAAATAATGTGGAAAAGCTACATACCAAGATATATATGAGCGGTTCAACCAAGATATTTTGATATGGCACCATTATTATATAATCAATTATAAATTGATGGTTTTTTTTTCCACACATGAACACGCCATTATTGTCATCTCTCCATGAATGGTGTTTCCGCAGAACGAGAGCAGTCTTGTTATTAGTTGCAATATCAAATGCCATTCACTATGGTCTTTCTGTCAAGCAGGTTGTCTAAGATAGTTGCTGATGAAGGTGAAGATTCAATCAGAAGTTGGAAACCAGTAAATTGTGTGAAGCCAATAAGTCAGATGTGGTTATTATTGATTTCTAAGGATATGTAAGGCCACTATGCCAGTCTAAAATTGTTTGCCACACACATTAATAAACTATATAGAGTGTCAGCAATTCAGATGGCAGGTGATTTTAAAATATTATTTTCTTTTAATTATTTTTTTTTTGTTGGGAAAAGTTGTTTTGAAGCCTTTAAGTATTAAATACTAACTTTGAGAAAAAAAAGGAATGGACAAGAATAGATGATGTCATTCAGGACATGGCCCCCCAACTTTTGAAAACTTTCTGATGGAATTTCCCTAAGTATCCCATTAAATGTGGCCCTCAAATAAAATATGACCATTTTCATGTATAGTGGCCTCCTAGATAATATATGTATACAGGTACAAT